ATCCACACATCCACCTTCACAAACACATCCACATCCACTTTCACATCCACATATCCACCTTCACAACCACATCCACATCCACCTTCACATCCACATATCCACCTTCACATTCACACATCCACCTTCACATCCACATCCACCTTCACATCCACACATCCACCTTCAAAACCACATGCACATCCACCTTCACATCCACATCAAATACACCTTCACATCCACATCAAAATCCACCTTCACACCCAAATCATCCTCTACATGCACCTTCACATCCACACATCCACCTTCACAACCACATCCAACTTCACATCCACACATCCACATCCACCTTCACATCCACCTTCACAACCACATCCACATCCACATCCACATCCACCTTCACAACCACATCCACAACCACATCCACCTCTACATCCACATCCATATCCCACATCCACATCCATCTTCATATCCACATCAGCATCTACATCAGCATCCACAAATCCACCTTCACATCCACATTCTCCTCTACATCCACATCCACATCCACATTCACATCCACACATCCACCTTCACAACCACATCCACATCTACGTCCACATCCACCTGTACATCCACATCCACATCTACATCCAATATCAACAATATCAACATCCGTATCAACACATCACATCCCACATCCCACATCCCACATCCCACATCCACATCCACCTCTACATCCACATCCACATCTACATCCACATCCACTTCTACATGTATATCCAATATCAACAATATCAACATCCGCATCAACACATCCCCATCCACATCCACCTCTACATCCATATCCCACATCTACCTCTACATCCACATCCCACATCCACATCTACATCCACATCCACCTCTACATCCACATCCCACATCCACATCCAACATCCACATCCACATCTACATCCACATCCACCTCTACATCCACATCCCACATCCACATCCCACATCCTACATCCACATCCCACACCCTACATCCCATATCCACATCCACCTCTTCATCCACATCCACATGTATATCCAATATCAACAATATCAACATCCGCATCAACACATCCACATCCACATCCCACATCCTACATCCCACATCCACATCCACCTCTACATCCACATCCACATCTACATGTATATCCAATATCAACAATATCAACATCCGCATCAACACATCCCCATCCCCATCCACATCCAACTCTACATCCACATCCCACATCCACATCCACCTCTACATCCACATCTACATGTACATCCAATATCAACAGTATGAACATCCGCATCAACACATCCACATCCACCTTCACATCCACCTTCACATCCATATATCCACCTTCACATATCCATGTTCATATCCACATTTGTTTGCGTATAGATTTCCACCTTCGCATTCATATCTACATCCACATTCAACAATATCCTCATCCACATCCATGCATCTACCTTCACATCCCCCTTCGCATATCCACATCTCATATCCACATTTGATTGCGTATAAAGGGTATAACTTAGCCGAGCAAGGACTGGGTTGTGAACGGATTAATGTGTCAGTGACATATTGAATAGTGATAAGCTACCATCCCGTCATCATGCAATGTCTTGATGTCTTTGTTTTCTTTAGGCTTAATTATATAAGTAAGCATGAGGGTAGCTCCAGCTGACGTCTGTGTTAATTAATGTCCACGATGTTCTGTAAACTCTAAGAGAATTTATAAATATAATGTTTCGATTTCGATTAACACTTTCAATGGCATCCAGATGGAGAAGGAAAGCTTAGCGTTCATGGTCTTAGAGCTACTGTACTCAACACGAAAATCATTTCCAAGGTCAAGTGAGGTTACCAAAAGGTATTTAAACCACTGGTCCACAAAACACTTACCAAACGGAGAATTAGGCGACCGTGACATTATTTCCTAAGTCTGTGAACTCTCACGGCATGCGCCTGATGAATATTCAAACACTTCCCATGACATGAGCAATTACGACAGATGATGTGAACGGCCTCCTGGGGATATGAACACGTACCCAGTGCTGGTCACAAGAGTTGCCTGAGTGGATCGGTTGTCAGGCCTGTTGACCTGACCGATAGCGTGTCACAGTACCCTGACGGGGTGGATCGGTGCTCACAATGTTAATCACTGGATTGTCTGGGTCAGCTACGATTATTTCCAGACCGATGTTTTAAAGACTGGGTTAAACGTTAAACAACAGACATATGAATTATATATATTCAGTTGAAGAGAGTGGCATAACATTTGTGATAATATGGTTCATATACACTGTATACATGAACGCAATATGCCTTTTTACAAAGGGGCCAAATGTAGCCAGTGTATATTTCCCGATTACACTTAAAGTACAGATTCTCGAACCTTTTGGGTTAAATTCCATTTCGTACAAAAATAGGAATGTTCGGGTTCTGTCCGGGACTAATCCCACAGTGAGGAATGTTCACGTTATCGAAATGTGCAATCTCAAAACATATGCTACTGAGTCAGCAGTTCACATACGTTGACTGGTACATTTTATCGTTCACACTTGCAAAGAAGGAATTTCTTTATTTTTTAATCCGTGCACTGTGTGACCTCACTGCGGAGCCTATCTGTCAATTATATTGGTAGAAGTAAAACAACGTTGGGCGCGTAGAGTTCTGGGATGGGTGATCGTATTTGGCAGCTTAACTCCTAAGAGTTTCTAGGACTTTAGTCCGTCCACAACGCGGCACATGTGATACATGTGGTCTCGCCTTAGGCAAGTGAGTTTGTTCAAAATAGCCTCTTTTCACCCAGCTGAAAATGGGTAACCGGTGAGATAAAATAATGTCACTATAACCTTCTAGCAGGCAGCTTGGGTTTCCGAGGTACTGATGACCAGACTTTTGGGGCGCTTCGAGCATGCATTGTGCATGGAGAAATGCGCATGATAAATTGACTATTATTATTATGTTGTACAGATTAAGATTAAAACTGTAGCAGAGGGGGTTCGCGTGATCCTGGCTCAGTCAGGCTGGTAAGGCTTATCATCAGCTCAGGACCTTTGTCCCCTCTACACGCAGCCAAGACTTCTCCCAGGAAACGCAGACTAGTCGAACCCACCAAGATCTTCCCGGAGAATATTTTAGACTCCCCAACGCTGCAGCCTTCTGCAATAGTTTTTGTCAGAGGGTCTGCGCCAAGAGATCAGGAGGTACCAAACCAAGGTCACCTGACGACGGTGCACTTGGGATGCAAGCGAGACATTTCAAAGGCGAGGTCCGCACATTTAGCATGCTTTTTCTGAATATTGCCAATCACGTTGCTGTCAAAAGGGACAGAAAATTGGATGATATAAATAAGTTCATTAGCTTTATCAAAAATGACAAGATCAGGTTTGTTGGCTTGAATTCTTCTGAGGCTGTATATGGGCCTATTTCAAAAACGTTTTAAAACATCATTTTCCATGACGCCCTGGACATGTTCAGGGTCGTACCTTGGGTAGACTTCGGAGTCAAAGCCACAGGCATGGCAAAGACGATAGTAGATAGTAGTATATTTTAAGATATGTTGTTTGTGCCAAGGAAGGACATCCACTGACAAGGTGTTGGAGAGTCTCTGTACTGACTGACTGACTGACTGAGTTTGGTTTTACGCCGCTTTTAGCAATATTCCAGCTACATGACGGCGGGGGAACACCAGAAATGGGCTTTGCACATTGTACCCATGTGGGGATTCGAACCCTGGTCTTCAGCGTGACGAGCCAACGCTTTAACCACTAGGCTACCCCACCGCCCCGGACAGTCTCTGTAATATATCATAGCCTTTTTGTAAGATGTTTGGTGTGTATGTGATCAAAGAGAAACATGACATTATGCCATTTTACTTACATTTTGCTCTCTGTATGCTTACAGTTAGTGAGCATGGTTTTACGTCGCTTTTAGCAATATTCCAGCAATATCACAGCGGGGGACACCAGAAATGGGCTTCACACATTGTACCCATTGGGAGAATCGAACCCGTGTCTTCAGCGTGACAAGCATTAACCATTAGGCTATCCCACTGCCCATGTATGCCTTTAAAAATCCTGCACAGCATCCTTGTAGAGGATGTCGGGCGTCTGTTGTCAGTGTTGGCATAAACTGAAGTAGAAACATCCACAGACATGAGGAGAATCGGGTGAATCCGGGACTCAAACATTAGATCATTAAGGCACAGCATCCTGGTGATATACACATACTTACATCAACAGCTTCTCATCTGATCTCCAAAACCCTGTAATTGGTGTACGGGGCGACACAAAGGACTATCGTAAATCAGGGTTAGAATTAATCTTCAGCAACCCATACTTGTCGTAAGAGGCGACTAACGGGATCGGGTGGTCTGCCTTGCTGACTTGCTTGACACATGTCATAGTATCCCTATTGTGTAGATCGATGCTCATGCTGTTCGTCATTGGATTGTCTGGTCTTGACTCGATAATTTACAGACCGCCGCCATATATGTGGAATATTGCTGAGTGCGGGGTTAAACAACAAACAAACAAACAAAAAACCAGAGCTGCTCATAATATCAATCACCGCTTTTCTCTCTTTATTGTTTACCGGCTGCTGTCATATATCTGAACGTGTGTCGTTAAATACAAAACAAATCATCAAAGCAAACAGTATATTATAAATAGTTAACACTGCTTCCAGGGTGTCGATACTATGATATTTGACAACCCGCTTTAAGGAGGCTGTTACGACGTAAATTGTAATAAAAACGCAAATTGTAGTACTTGCAGAGGCATCAGCTGTTAAATATATCCACTTGAGAGAAAGTGTATGAGCAGTGAGATACAGGCACCAGTTAAGGCAGGTACTACTGTCCGCGTCATCAATAACTTCAAAGACGACAAGTAGTGAACTTTGACCTTTCTTTAGCCCATCTTAATACGCCGAGGATCAAATTAATCTGAACCATACCGCCCAACTACAGAGTAATATAATAACCCAAGGGACATAACTTCTGTATGGAAAAGAATTGACCGTCATACATTTATAGACGAGACACGCGAGCGACCTGCACACAAGGACGTGAACAGCTGTCTGTGGCAAGATGAAGTGCATAGTTATTTTAATAACGTTCCTAACTATAGCGTGTGTCCGGGCTGATGTACAGGACGACTTCAGGTACCTTACCTCTATATTTGCCGGAGTGTATGACAACCTCAATCAATATGAAAGTGACATTCGCCGTGGTTTGCCTCCTCAAGACAGACACCTTCATCTTATAACATCAGTAGCAGCTGAAGACGTGCCAGTCCTACAAGGGAGGATCAGTTTCTATCTGGAACAATATCTCAATGGAAGCCAAAGTGATCTCATCAGGCAACGGATTTACAGCTTTGGCATCGATACAGAGAATAGAATTAACCTGAAACTCTATTCTCTGGTCGATCAAGCTAAATTCGCTCATGCCCCAACTAACTCTCCACTCTTCAAGAAGCTGACAATGAAAGACATTGTGTATGCATCAGGATGTGACGTGTACTGGACTCGTGTTTCTGGTGACTTCTTCAGAAGTAATATGTTCAACACATGTGTTGTCCCCATAGGTGGAGCTGAGGTAAGCATGGGCTGGACGCAATATTTTGCTGTTATTGATTTGACTGGTGGTCTAAGAGAAATATATGCCGATACGAGTTGAATTTGCGTCATTATTAAACTGGGATCTTAACTGCATTTGGTGGAACCACTTGTAACAACATTTGGAACCACAGAACAACATTTGCCACTGACGTAACAACATTTGGAACCACTTGCTTTGGAACCACAGAACTAGCTGATGTAACATCATCATTGCTGATGTCATGGCGACTTGGTTCATAATGTCGTCATCGACTTGGGATGAACGTCATCGTTGCTGATGTTATAGCGTCGTCGTTAATGAAATAGACGGGTTAGAACTGAAAGCGTCATACGCTGTCATAATTGATTTCATAATGTCATCATTTATTAGTGTGATTAAGTCGTCATCGTTAGTTTCATAACGTAAACACCATTGTTTTCATTAACATCATCAGTTAATATCTTACCTTCATGTAAAATACTTTAATTTCATTGGTCAATGACGCTTTAACAAGTTTCCGTGTCACCCCTCCCGAGGAGGGTGACAACTAGAAAACATATTACCCGCTGCCACGGTAACCGCGAAGCTCTCCGCCCAGAAGCTGAAGGGCTAACAATCGTATGATCGCATGCCGTGCCCGGAGTTCGAAAACCGTTCGATCAGCTGTTTTTGTGTTCACTTTGTACAGATTTATTTTACCAACTTTCATTGCTTTATTTCAGTTATTTTATACATTGAGTCGTTTGCACACTCAACTTAAACATAATTAACCAGTTTTATAGCAGTTTTAAGCTTGTCAGAATATGTTTCACTGATTATAATAATTCAGTCGAGGCGCCATTTTGTTTACATGTCATATAGTCGGTCGCGATCTTTAGCATAAAATAAAATGATATTTTGTACATTTAACATGGCGGTAAGATAAATATTATATTACTTGTATCATTCAGGCATGGTTCTTTGATAACGTCATCATTGATTTCATAACGTCATCACCAATGTTTTCCAAGTCGTCGTTGGGGCGGTGGGGTAAGCCTCGTGGTTAAAGCGTGCGCTCGTCACGCCGAAGACCCGGGTTCGATTCCCCACATGGGTACAATGTGTGAAGCCCATTTCTGGTGTCCCCCGCCGTGATATTGCTGGAATATTGCTAAAAGCGGCGTAAAACTAAACTCACTTCACACTTTAAGTCGTCGTTAGTTTCATGACGTCTTTATGATTGATTATATAACGCCCTCATTTGTTTCTCGGCGTCATCAACATGCTGTACTACATGCCTTGTTATTCCTGCTGCATCATTGTTTCAGGTTCTCATTATCGACAAAAGTACATTGTCATCGACGTATTTAACAGCCGATGAGACGTGGATCTTCGTTAAGAACGGATCTGTGCTCAAGGTCTACCCCTCGCCATACAACATGACGAAGCAAATCTCCCACCAACGTCCCGCGTATGTACCCGTTAGCCAGCCGATCAAGATAATGATACTTTGATATCAACTGAATTGAAAAATACTACTACTAGTACCACTACTCAACCCGTGAAGATCAGGGTTAGAATTGATCTTCAGCAACCCGTGACTGTTGTAAGACGCGACTAACGGGATCGGGTGGTCAGGCTTACTGACTTGATTGACACATGGTATCCGATTTGCGTATCGATGCTCATGCTGTCGATCTCTGGATTATCTGGTCAATTTTAACTCAAATTGGAATATTTTCCTCAAAACAAATGAACAAAACAACAACAGAGTGTCTCCAGTTGTAGTCCTTTTAAGCTTGTGCAAGATTTATGCTGTTTGACAATACTTATATGTCGTGGAAAAAACAATACCCAACATTTGGGACTAATAGCAGGATCTGGAAGGCAGCCAGAGGGAAGTATATATTGGTCATCGGGTGGGGATGGGGTATCTAATGATGAGATTCATTTTGTGAAACAGTTGAACTGTATACGTAATACACGCACGCACGCACGCACGTGCACGCACGCACGCACGCACGCACGCACGCCTTTGGTAATATACAGATCAGAGCACGGTTAAGTGTCAAGCTTTTGCTTCACATTTTTACATCATGCCTCTGAATGATATAGAAAAACCCAGGGTTCGGTCGACGATCTCAATCATCGTGCCGTCGACATCACATACCGTAGTAGCTGGGACACCCGAGCCCTGTGTCACAATACAAAATCATCCTCAGTGGCCCCATATGACTGTCACCTGACACAAAGGGAAATCTCGCTCAGAACATGTGTTGGATGTCAAAGTCTATCTGATAAGAGTGCTGGGCGTCTTAAGTTGTCAACAATCTGCCTTACTGCCCGCCCCCGCCGACACGAGGGTGTACCTCTTGTTCAGCTTGACCTGATCAAGTGAATACTAATGCATTGCGTGACCGTGTCACAACTGGTTTGGTCCATTATTGTGAAGGGGATGCACCTTTGTCAGTCGATTGTCAACATGTCCGAACAGCCGAGACAAGGTCGCCGTTGGACATCTCAGTGTCGAGAAATCGTCAGCAATGTCCTAACTTTCTTTAAACTTAGAAAAGAAGCTACATATGGTTTAATGTTTCCGATTCGGGCTTTTAGGCAGCGAGCAGCAACATTAATAACATCCGTGCTCCCTTATTTAATGAAGTTAACTCGACCAATCTTTTGTGCCATTTGACCTCCCGGGTCATGCATATGCAGAGTAGCTCAGGTCAAGCTGAACAAGTTGTAAGTGCTTATAGGTGAGGTGAAATTGGGTTGAACGTCGTGCTTGAGAATATTTCGCTCATATGACGACGTGCATGCGTGTGTATGTGTATGTGCGGCTGCTTGTACTAGCCCAGACTGAAGCTGGTTTTATAGTGCTAGCCCACTGAGATACCATGCCGCAGTGAAGCATGAATACCCCACTCAGACACATTATACTGACTCCGAGCCGACCAGTCCTTGATGTACCCATTAATGCCGAGCGCCAGGCAGGGACCAACAAGTTCCATACTTTAACGTCTTTTGGTATGACGTGGTCGGGGATCGAACCCGCGACCTTCCGCTCTCCGGGCGGACGCTCTAACCACTACACCACGGAGGCGGTCTGTAAATGCTTTTAGTGGAAGCTTGATTACAAAGTGGTTTTGACACTTCGTTGGTAGTGGATGCCGTTTTGTGTAGATACATGTTTGGCTGACAGCATGTTTGGTGCATTTGGTCCATGGAGCCGTGCTTACCAGCTTGGTGCTGCTCTTTGATGAATTTGATTAGCGTCTGGTTGATACCAGTCAAAAATAATAAGTGTCATTATAATGCGCTTCAGCGCCAACATAGCGCTAACAATCAAGGCACAGCACATCACTACCCCCGATAACCCAAGCTGCATGTGAGGCGCTTGAAGGTTAAACGTCATATGACCTATCCCACCGGGTACCCATTTTCTGCTGGGTGAACAGCGGGCAATTTTGAACTAACTCACTGGCCTAAGGTGAGACCACATGTGTCATATGTTCTTAGTAGTGGAGCAGGACCGAAGTCCTAGAAACTCTCAGGAGTCAAGCTGCCACATACGGTCATCCATCCAAGGACTCTCCCTGCTTAATTTCAACCGATTTGTGACCTGGCCCCGAATTCTCGTAACAAACTTAAGTCTGAATTTTGACTTAAATTAACGGTTTATACTCAAATTTGAGAAACTGCATTTACCAGAATAAACAGAAATCGAGATTCAACTCAAACAAAGTTGACAATTTCAGCTTAGTAGATAGGTTACTTCAGTTGTTTTGGCTTTTTGAATTTAGAGATGCAGTTGAGTTAGAAATTCAACTGTTTCAAATTGGCAAACTCAGTTTGAAATTTGAGTAAAATTATCAGTTTGTTTCGTGAAATCAGCTCCTGAGCTCTATCCTCTGAGCTCAGCTAAAGGGTTTAGCTTGGCCCTACTGTATATTTTTACTCTATTGACTTTATGTTGAAGTTCTCAATAATGGCGATACAATCATTATTATTAGTGTCATTGTTAGTGCTACTGCTGCTGCTACTACTACCACTACTTTTTCTACTACTACATTTTCTACTACTACTACTACTACCCGTGAAGGTCCGGGTTAGAATGTACCTTCAGTAACCCATGTCGTAAGAGGCGACTAACGGGATCGGGTAGTCAGGCTCGCTGGCTTGGTTGACACATGAAGGTACATTATAGAGTGGATCAAATACGAACGGAGATCATACGAGATACTGAGGAGTCTATCGCCACAGTTGAGGCAGTGGCCTCATGCATTTCTATGCGTAAACCGTTTTTATTCCACGCGTCTTTTTAAGGGCAAATAACGCTTGCAATATCAAAACAAAATCAATATTTTAAGAATTTTTGATCGTAAAGTATTGAATATTAAGACAATTATGGCATGAACTGGAACTTTTTTTTTATGTATACAAAATAATTTTGAATGAGTACTTTATGTTGTACAGTAGCCTGGTATTCATTTATTTGGGATATTAACATATGCACGCGACTACCAAGCATTGACCAGGACCGTTTTAGGCCCATTTCGACTGTTTGTAGGTCAACCTGGAGACATATTTATGACTGTGTAAATCATCTATTACATTTGCATGTGACCTTATCTTGTCGTCCCAACTGCTGAATCATTGTACATACCACGCAGTCGGGGCGGGATTGGGCACGTGTGATAGTGTACCTGTATTGTCCAGCTGGTGACCAGGTCGGAGAGACATTCAGAAACTGATTAAATTCTTACTGTTGTTATGGTATCATCATTACCTCGAACTCTATAGTTTTGATATTATAGCAAAAAGCATTTTAATTTATGCGTTAGTTTTAAATTATTAATAGTTATTGTATTTAAGTAATGTGAATCAGTTTAGATAATGATACAATAGTGACCATGGTTAATGTGAGTAGGTGAGTGAGTGAGTATGGTTTCACCCCGCGTTTAGCAATTTTCCAGGAATATCACCTCGGGGGACACCAGAAAAAGGCTTCACACGTTGTCCCCATGTAGGGAGTCGAACCCGGGCCTTCGAGCGAACGAACGAGCGAAAGCTATCACCACTGGGCTACCTCACCGTCACGTTAATAATGAGAATCATAATATCATAAAGTGTACTGATTAGTGTGAGTTACCAGTTGATTAATAACCTGAAATTGGACACACGCCACGGACACCGATATGTTCACGTGGCATCACATTATAATTCCAGAGGACAATGGCGAGGACTCTGACCCAGGTGAAAGTTAAGACACAGTCTGCGGAAAAGTTCCTGCCTTAAGTCATTTGCAGTAATTAAAGCAAGCAGTATTAGCAAACACGTCATCACCTGTCCTCCAGTCTTAGTGCCGTATATGATCACGTGAAGGTAGCACCCGGCACAAACCAGGCCAAATAGGTCCCTGCCTGTATGCCACGTCTATATATAGATATATACTCCACTTAAGTCATGCAAGGGGTTTAAAAGATACCCGTGTCAAACAGCTAGGACATTGACATGTGAAGCATAGTGAGATATGAGTCGACTTATTTCAATGTAATAATCCTTCCGCGTATTCAATACTTAATCTATATATTATATTTTTAAAATGTTTAATCATGTCATTCATTATTACAAATACATGTAATACAGGTTTTGGTTGAATTGATAATAAATGTTATTTTTACGACAATCAGAAGGATAGATGTGAATAAAAGACACCGATTAGAAAATCAGTTAAAAAAATAATCCATCCACCCGGCCAACAGTGCTTTTATACAATGTAATGTATTATAGCTAAAATACATGGAATTATCATGAAACGGCCCTCTCGTTATCAGAAATTTGCGGTCCGCTGCAAATGATATTGGACCGCTCAACCTTAACGACGGGCCACTATCAGTTCTGTTGTCAAGTGACGTCATAGTTCGACATTAGTGGCTTTCGACTGGCAGATATTCAGGGTCAAACAAGTCAAAGCAACCCAAATTCCTGCTTTAAATAGCGGTAATATTGGCTTTCTTGCTGGTGCTAACCTTAACAATTGCACTATTAAGACTGTTGATGGACCAAAACCGAACACTGTCATAGCTTGACATGTTGCAGGCTATGGTCTTGTCAAAGGCCAAGGTCGAATATCGTCACTTTCTGTTGTGACGTCACTTGAATTGTTCGATGACGTAATTGCATTCGGGCAGTCAACCCCGTCAGAAGCTGATTTGGGTAAACTTACAGTCAAATTCCTTCATTGTTTCCTTTTTTCTTTTCAACACAAATTCCATGTAGTTTAGCAATAATAACGGTAATGCTATTTTTGAGGGCATTATCATTTGCAGAAGCCCTCGGTCTTTATCAACTGCCCTCCTTCGTCGGGCAGTTAATGGAAGACCTCGCAAATAGCATTACCCTTATAATATATATGCGGACGAATTTTAAAATGAAACCACCTCCTTCAAAAAGAGGTAAAAAGTAATCATTGAAGAAGACGTTTCGGTGTGTTTGCTAACATCGTTATCAAGCAATTGATGACACCAAACTGAGAAGACGTTGTCGATCCATATAACGTGTTCCTCTTGATCACAGGGGCGGTGGGGTAGCCTAATGGTTAAAGCGTTGGCTCGTCACGCCGAAGACCCGGGTTCGAATCCCCACATGGGTACAACGTGTGAAGCCCATTTCTGGTGTCCCCCGCTGTGATATTGCTGGAATATTGCTAAAAGCGGCGTAAAACCAAACTCAGTCAGTCAGTCAGTGTTGATCACACCAACTTCTAAATTGCCACTTTAAATGTCAAAGTAATCATTGTCTTGCAGGATTCCCGCGTCCCCCTTTAGCGTTGACTCCACCCAGCTGATCGGCTTCGATGAGATCTTCAAGTCTCTGGTCCAGGGTCAGCCTGTCCGGTACTATTTGAAGACGTCGGACTGCACTGCGTCCGGGGGACAAGGGGTGGGAGCGTTGCCTCAGATGGGAGGATTCATTGACACATTCGAATACTTCAACGATAAATCATTCGGGCCTATCCCGTACTTTGGATTTTCAGCATTCATCCCAGGGAGAAACGCCAGTGGTTAGTATTGACTGTTACACTGTGGGGTCAGTCGGTATAGGGCGGCAGGGTGGTCCAGTTGTTAAAGCGCTTGGTCCTCACGGAAGGCGCCGAGTTCGATTCCAAGAATGGGTACAACATGCTAATCACATATCTGGTGTATTGGTGTATAACTTAATCACTCCACTCCACTCCACTCCACTCCACTCCACTGGTTACCTTTTCATCGAGGCTAATAACATTGATTAATTGTTTAGTTCGATTACCCGATTGTATTAATTCTTTCACCGTCATGTCCGTATTTTCCCCTCAAGTCGGATTCAGCTTGGTATTTCATTCAATATTTATCTTTTATGACTTTTCTAAGTTGCTATGAAAAGCAGCATAAACTCAAATTGACAGAAGTGGTTATCTTTGGCGAGACGTTTGATCATGTATCCTGGTTACTGACACAAGTGGTTATCTTTGGCGAGACGTTTGATCATGTATCCTGGTTACTGACACAAGTGGTTATCTTTGGCGAGACGTTTGATCATGTATCCTGGTTACTGACACAAGTGGTTATCTTTGGCGAGACGTTTGATCATGTATCCTGGTTACTGACACAAGTGGTTATCTCTGGCAAGACGTTCGATCATGTATCCTGGTTACTGACACAAGTGGTTATCTTTGGCGAGACGTTCGATCATGTATCCTGGTTACTGACACAAGTGGTTATCTCTGGCAAGACGTTCGATCATGTATCCTGGTTACTGACACAAGTGGTTATCTCTGGCAAGACGTTTGATCATGTATCCTGGTTACTGACTCAAGTGGTTATCTTTGGCGAGACGTTTGATCATGTATCCTGGTTACTGACACAAGTGGTTATCTTTGGCAAGACGTTTGATCATGTATCCTGGTTACTGACACAAGTGGTTATCTCTGGCGATCTGGCGAAGATCGTTCGATCATGTATCCTGGTTACTGACACAAGTGGTTATCTTTGGCAAGACGTTCGATCATGTATCCTGGTTACTGACACAAGTGGTTATCTTTGGCAAGACGTTCGATCATGTATCCTGGTTACTGACACAAGTGGTTATCTTTGGCAAGACGTTCGATCATGTATCCTGGTTACTGACACAAGTGGTTATCTTTGGCAAGACGTTCGATCATGTATCCTGGTTACTGACACAAGTGGTTATCTCTGGCAAGACGTTCGATCATGTATCTTGGTTACTGACACAAGTGGTTATCTTTGGCAAGACGTTCGATCATGTATCCTGGTTACTGACACAAGTGGTTATCTCTGGCAAGACGTTCGAAGTGGTTATCTCTGGCAAGACGTTCGATCATGTATCTTGGTTACTGACACAAGTGGTTATCTTTGGCAAGACGTTCGATCATGTATCCTGGTTACTGACACAAGTGGTTATCTCTGGCAAGACGTTCGATCATGTATCTTGGTTACTGACACAAGTGGTTATCTTTGGCAAGACGTTCGATCATGTATCTTGGTTACTGACACAAGTGGTTATCTCTGGCAAGACGTTCGATCATGTATCTTGGTTACTGACACAAGTGGTTATCTCTGGCAAGACGTTCGATCATGTATCTTGGTTACTGACACAAGTGGTTATCTCTGGCAAGACGTTCGATCATGTATCTTGGTTACTGACACAAGTGGTTATCTCTGGCAAGACGTTCGATCATGTATCCTTGTTACTGACACAAGTGGTTATCTCTGGCAAGACGTTCGATCATGTATCCTGGTTACTGACACAAGTGGTTATCTCTGGCAAGACGTTCGATCATGTATCCTGGTTACTGACACAAGTGGTTATCTCTGGCAAGACGTTCGATCATGTATCCTGGTTACTGACACAAGTGGTTATCTCTGGCAAGACGTTCGATCATGTATCTTGGTTACTGACACAAGTGGTTATCTCTGGCAAGGCGTTCGATCATGTATCCTGGTTACTGACACAAGTGGTTATCTCTGGCAAGACGTTCGATCATGTATCCTGGTTACTGACACAAGTGGTTATCTCTGGCAAGACGTTCATGTATCCTGGTTACTGACCACAAGTGGTTATCTCTGGCAAGGCGTTCGATCATGTATCCTGGTTACTGGCACAAGTGGTTATCTTTGGCAAGACGTTCGATCATGTATCCTGGTTACTGACACAAGTGGTTATCTCTGGCGAGACGTTCGATCATGTATCCTGGTCTGGTTACTGACACAAGTGGTTATCTCTGGCAAGACGTTCGATCATGTATCCTGGTTACTGACACAAGTGGTTATCTTTGGCGAGACGTTCGATCATGTATCCTGGTTACTGACACAAGTGGTTATCTCTGGCAAGACGTTCGATCATGTATCCTGGTTACTGACACAAGTGGTTATCTCTGGCAAGACGTTCGATCATGGTTACTGATCCTGGTTACTGACACAAGTGGTTATCTCTGGCAAGACGTTCGAAGTGGTTATCTCTGGCAAGACGTTCGATCATGTATCCTGGTTACTGACACAAGTGGTTATCTTTGGCAAGACGTTCGATCATGTATCCTGGTTACTGACACAAGTGGTTATCTCTGGCAAGACGTTCGATCATGTATCCTGGTTACTGACACAAGTGGTTATCTCTGGCAAGACGTTCGAAGTTGGTTATCTCTGGCAAGACGTTCGATCATGTATCCTGGTTACTGACACAAGTGGTTATCTCTGGCAAGACGTTCGATCATGTATCCTGGTTACTGACACAAGTGGTTATCTCTGACAAGACGTTCGAAGTGGTTATCTCTGGCAAGACGTTCGATCATGTATTCTTGTTACTGACAGAAGAGGTTATCTTTGGCGAGACGTTCGATCATGTATCCTGGTTACTGACACAAGTGGTTATCTCTGGCAAGACGTTCGATCATGTATCCTGGTTACTGACACAAGTGGTTATCTCTGGCAAGACGTTCGATCATGTATCCTGGTTACTGACACAAGTGGTTATCTCTGGCAAGACGTTCGAAGTGGTTATCTCTGGCAAGACGTTCGATCATGTATCCTGGTTACGGAGACAAGTGGTTATCTCTGGCAAGGCGGTTCGATCATGTATCTTGGTTACTGACACAAGTGGTTATCTCTGGCAAGACGTTCGATCATGTATCTTGGTTACGGAGACAAGTGGTTATCTATGGCAAGGCGGTTCGATCATGTATCTTGGTTACGGACTGGTTATCTCTGGCAAGGTGGTCGATCATGTCTCCTGACAAGACGTTCGAAGTGGTTATCTATGGCAAGACGTTCGATCATGTATTCTTGTTACTGACAGAAGTGGTTATCTCTGGCAAGACGTTCGATCATGTATCTTGGTTACGGAGACAAGTTGTTATCTCTGGCAAGGCGGTTCGATCATGTATCCTGGTTACGGAGACAAGTGGTTATCTCTGGCAAGGCGGTTCGATCATGTATCCTGGTTACTGACACAAGTGGTTATCTCTGGCAAGACGTTCGATCATGTATCTTGGTTACGGAGACAAGTGGTTATCTATGGCAAGGCGGTTCGATCATGTATCCTTGTTACTGACATTGCTGGTTATGTATAGCAAGACGTTTGCCCATGTATTGTTGTTACTTACATTGCTAGTTATCTATAGCAAGACGTTTGCCCATGTATTTTTGTTGTCTAGGAGGTCTGGTCATCCTGCTGAAAGAGGGCTTGGTGTATAAAAATGGCGATGTTAAACTGACGCTCACAACGTTATCTGTAGACTACCAAACAGTTATCAACAAGCAGAACCTTGTTTGTAGAATTGGCTCCAATGCGTCAAGGTGAGATGTTTTCAACACTTTTAACATCTCATGATAAAGGTCATTGTGAAATACTATAGTCCTGAAATGATCTTATTTTAGTGGTCATAGGAAAGATTCTCAAGACATTTAGATAATTTTCATTACAGTTCATAAGATACTTTTACTGCAAAAAACTAACATTTTGCGTAAGCTCACCTTACAGGTTATTAAGGCAGGAGGCTGACTTTCGTCAAAACAATGTGTTTAAAATGTGTCCATATGTCTATGCCGCTATGGCAAGCTGTGAGTCTGATACAACTGACTGACTGAGTTTGGTTTTACGCCGTTTTTAGCAATATTCCAGCAACATCATGGCGGGGGACACCAGAAATGGGCTTCATACATTGTACCCATGTGGGGATTCGAGCCCGGTTCTATGGCGTGACGAGCCAACGCTTTAACCAATAGGCTACCCCAACGACCCGAGTCTGATACAAGGACAGATGAGACTTGAAGAAGAATTTCAAACTTAGCGAATAATAGCATTTAAATCCATTCACGTTACAGCGGCTCAGCCATGTTCTTCTCTGGAGGACGCACAATCAAACAACTGACGACATTCAGCAGCTTTGTGTCGGCACTCCAGAGTGGAGCCCACGTACGATTCAGTGTTAACTATGGCCTCTGCAACATTGGTGTAAAGGCAATCGGTGGAGGAAGAATTGAAGGTTGGTATTATACATGTAGTTCTGATTGTTAGTTTGTTTTAGCCCCGAACTCGGCAATAATTCATGAATATCACGTTGATATGTAGAATATTCGAATCTGGATCACACAACGAATGAACCTAGTGAGCCACAATCCACAATAACTGGGATACGATTGCGTGCAATCAGCTAGAAACCAAAACTGACCACCCAATACATTTAGATGCCTCTTGTGATATAATTGAAACTTAACTCAAACGTCTTGGGCAAATTCTCGTGTACTGATTTTCCCAAATCAGAACAGAAACTCTGATCTCTCATTCATCATCAACAGAACAATGATAAGCTGGGATTGGAGCACATATTCCTTTATCGAATTTAAACATCGAAGCTACATATGGATTCCAGGATTTCTCATATCTTTCTCCCAGTAAACAGCAAACTTCTGATGGCATTTGCTTTCGTGTCTAACCAGTTGTCCTGAGCCTTTGAGTGAGAGATTGAGTTTCAAACAGCGTTTAGCAACACTCTACCGGTACATCTTAAATGGGCGCAGAGACAAACAAACCCCAAACTCTACAATAAACACACACACACACACACACACACACACACACACACACACACACACACACACACACACACACACACACACACACGCTGTACCATTCTTGTACATTCTTGTTCATGTATTCCTTGAAATACCATTAGCATGTGTCACTTTAATTATGACCACCAAAACCGTCGCTAACGTAACATATATCGTAAACTTTAGTGTCCTGCAATCTCTTGCTAGATTATGAGGTTTCTGCTGACGGGAACATGGTGAAATCGTCACAGTACAAAATCATCACCAATTACCAGGGAGAAGGCTACGTGGAAGACATCGTCATTGGCAGCTTCTACTCCAACAGCAGCGCCATCTTCATCGCCTCTGACGTCATGGTGGACACAAACAATGACGTCTACGTGGAAGAGATAGACTGCGAGATCAATGGACTACGGCCTGGGGGAGGGGCTTACCTCTACCAGGTGGTCTGAGACACAGTGGAAGTCCGAAGTGAGGTCTCGAACGTGACCTTGAAGGTATAGCCGCCAGATCTCCTGTCTCTCCAGTTTTTGTATCAATAATAGTCACAGCGTTACTCACTGCTTTCTGTCTCTTTGTATGTTGCCATGTTGTATGTTGTGATAATAACGATGTTTTATCTCAAGCAAAACAGGCCAGATTTTAAATATAACATGTAATGTAACGCCCCTCAACACTTCCCCAAGCACGCATACTGCGTGACATTTGTTTCAGGTTTTTAAAATGTTTGACGTACGTTATCACTGTATTTGTCACTGAAAAATGTATTCCATGACAGCAGACAATAAAGAATGACCACACAGAGATCCATGAAGAATTGCGTAGTTTTTCCAAAAACTTCCAGCTATACTTAACGTGTATGTAATTTACAGGTACACCCATCTTATGCAATAATCTTAATCTATTATAAGTATATGTGATTGAACACGTGTTCACTTAGTGCACCTGTACGTACTTAAGGGTATATCTCCCATCATACAGTAGTGCTCAAAAGAAAATACACACCGCAAAATATTGCATAAAAATGCACACAAATAAAGTGATAAATCTATACTGAGCCATTTCATGCACGTACAGACCAATCCTTTCCGGGAACTAACGGCGAATGAAGTTAACGAATCGCCAAAACGACGCAAAAGATCCAAAGCGACTTTTTCTGATGTAACACGAAATGCACGCGCATACTGACGGTATAAAACGTCCTACGCGACTCGTAAAAAGAACACAAAAATATGCCTCGTTCGAGGCAAATCCAAAGAGAGAGTGCTGTCGGAATCGTCTACAAACACGATAATGCAAGGCATCATGCAGCAAGACTGACAACCGACTTTCTGTACAACGCTAACATCGTTGTTTTGCCGTGACCAGCATGTTCTCCCGACATGAATCCGATAGAACACTTATGGGACTACCTGGATCGACAAATCAGAAGACTACCAGCACCACCTGTCACCGCTCAACAACTGGAACAATGTCTAATACAGGAATGGCAACGGATCACGCCTAATGTCATTCGTCGTCTTATGTCCTCAAAGCGTAGACGTGTTTTGGTGTGCATTGAAGCCAATGGTGGTCACACTCACTATTGATTCAACATTTGATGACATTTTGCAGATAGAAAACGCCTTGTTGATCTGTGTAAAAGTTCAGACTATGACATCACATTTCTTTCAGTGTCAGTCAAACGGTCCTTTCGACTTTGTATGAAATGAAATAGTGTTCATTTGCTGTAGAATTGAATAGTCTATTTAAATTAAACAGGTCTTCATTTATATATTCCTTTTTTGCCTTCCCAAGATTGGTCAAACACACTGTATACTTTCTTTTGAGCACTAGTTTATATTCCCCTTCCCATATCACTTGGGTTATCATTCAAGTTAGATAGTTTCCATCAGAAAAGTTAGATGTCTTCACATGGAGAGATATTCTACTCAATGATTTTGTAAGGATTTAGTAAGAATTTGAATAGTGTAATGCAGACTCGAAGACGAGTAATCGTCATCACTTGGTATCGATTTCTACTCCAGGCACTGACTGTTAGATAAATAGTGAATGGAGTAGTACGGTTTTACTCCACATTTAGCAATGTTCCAGCAATGTCGCCAGAAATGGGTTTCATACATTGTTGGGATTCGAACCCTCTTCGGCGTGACGAGCGAACGCTTTTCTACTTGTCTACCCTACCGCCCCTGTTTGATAAATAACCTGTCACAGCCTATCCACCCTCTGAGATGTAATAAACAACCGTAAAAGGGGTATATGTTCATCATATATACTGGACAAAATAAGTTAGGGATATTGGTATTTTTATGATTGATATTTTATCAGTGTGTCAATGAATAAATAGATCATTATTCATAATTTCAAAATTTACGAATATCCCTAGCTATTGTTGTCCAGTATATGTACTAAACGGAAGGGAACTGATGAAATGATGAAGTGAACATGTACTGTCGGTTTATGTCTGCAAAATTAACTTCGGGTAAATAGATCTATATCCTTTGTGCCCACTGTATTCGGTAATGCAGTACCATACCTTGATGCCTCTACTGTTTGTTAACTTGCGAATGCTTGCCGTTGGAATTGTCCGCCATTCCGCCTAAACACCGACCTCAGTCTGTGTCACGCTGAATAGCGAGTAAGACGACTGAGCTACCCTCATACACCATATAAATTACCGTTGGACTGACTGACTGACTGAGTTTGGTTTTACGCCGCTTTTAGCAATATTCCAGCAACATCACAGCGGGGAACACCAGAAATGGGCTTCACACATTGTACCCATGTGGGGATTCGAACCCGGGTCTTCGGCGTGACGAGCCAACGCTTTAACCACTAGGCTACCCCAGCGCCCCAATTACCGTTGGAATAACCAGACATTTCACTTATTATGATTTCATTGGCTCAAAGGGGCGTTGTGGACGAGTGTATTCGTGAGAGGAAATTATGAGTGCTTCATTATATTCGAGCATGGCACATGGTAAACTACTTCAACTGAAATATGAAAAATGTTGAAATAAAAGACTGTTCCAGTACCAAGATAAACTGAGTATAATCACAAAGTGAAACGTCAACATATTTTGTCATAATTCAGTTCACATTCTGGCAACCTCAGATTCGTCAGATTCGATATGCAGAGCTTCATTTATTCATTCATTCATTCATTCATTTGAAGGCCGTATGATCATTGTACTGTATTTCCAATATTTTGAACAAGGAAGGTGAACGAGCACAACAAGGTTAGTAATATATTCCTGGAAACGAGTGTTCCTAGATTCGCTTCCAGAATTTCACCTACAGTGCAATACAAGGCGTGTTAAGAAACCTGGAAAAGAATAAAGGAACACTTGTACTTTCAGGTGTTCCCTTATTCGTTTCAATGAGTAAATATGTTTTTGCACATTGACATGAGAATAGATAAGGTTTGCTTGGATGGACAGTTAGTAGATTTAGGTGGAATATAGCACTGCCTCACCTCTGAGTGAAAACCACAATCCAAAAGAACATGATGCACATCTTCAACAATTACAGTATTTACATATATATTTTGCTTAATTCAGCCTAGTTTCATTGGCATTTTATCAAGATTATATTGCTTTCTATATGTCTTGTTTCCAATAGATAGCCATAGTATTGCATGTATCGAATTTTGAACCAATATGCCATAAACAAGTATTTGAAATCCCCCAGTCTCCTAAGACAAGTTTTGTGTATGTTGATCTTCTTAAACCAATACTACGTTTTAAAGCATGTACATTTATACATTATAATACAATGCCATTTTCAACGACCCAATATGTTACAACCATACATAATAAATATATGAATATTGTAGCCTTCAAATACTTCAAACATCAGGTTCAAACCTCAAAAGACTTTATAACTGCCATTGCCTTAAAAGCTAAATCTTCAAAAGATGCTTGCAAAGAAAGACGTCTTGTAAATAATATATCTAACTAATTTCTTGAGGTAATGCTTCCAACTGGAGGTTGTTCATAAACACAATTGTCTGTTTGGGAAATGTTTTACAATTATTTGCTGTGTTTGTTGCATATAAACCGAAAGTGACCAATAGTAACAATAACGTTCTAATATATCAATTTGCTTCTAAAGACAATGAAAAGAACATAGTTCTTAAACAAGAGTAAAAATGATTTAAATATATGATTATAATAGGATACCAATGATACAAAAGTCTGTACTTTCACAAACCAATTCGTTTGATAGTAATAGAAACGGGCTCAGAACACACCCCTGTGTGAACACATTCTACTGTTTAAACTACTGTATGTTCGTAGACGCACCTGTACATTAGATACAGGTTGATACTAAGATCATATCTTTTAATAAATATCCCTACGTACGGAAACCAAAGCCCAATACAAGTCTACAAAACACGCGGAGAATTTCTCACGTCTTTGATAAATATGTATTTATTAATCCCTGCAATATAAATATATCTATTGTTGAATATCCTGCTCTAAAACAGCTTCTCCTATCTTATCAAAACAGCCTGCCAGAATGCGAATCAACTATTCAGAATATTTGTATTAATCTTTCTAAATATCTTGTACAAAGGAATAATGATGGCCTTGGACTAAGGTAGAGAAAACTTTCCTTTGTCGCATAAAGAGTTAAATATAATTTCCAAAAATGGGGCAATGAAGTGACACTACGATTTAAACTTTTCACTTACGGCTTCAACGCCATGGGCTTAAATGTGCCATTTTAATAATTCAGGCTACAATTTCATCTCTGTCGATTGGTGCATTGTATATGTCTTCTTTAGCGGGTTGAGAATACCTTTAATGAAATTGTTCATAATAAGTATGATAATCCGGAAAATCAAGTTGAACCTTGATTGTCTCATCACCCCTCTTGACAAGAGTTCTCTTTTTAAAATAACCAAACCAATGTTGATTCGAAATAATATTTTCTGAAGATGGTTTTGGCAGCTTTGGCAGATATACATGTACATGTACGCAAAAGAGTCATCTAGTGTATCATTAAAATCGCGCAATTGTTTGTTTGCAGTAACGGTTGGCATACATTCATCCATCGCACGATCGAACTAAAATAGTGGCGAACAAATACTAAATAGGATTTAAAGTAATGGGACCTTTCAGGTCCATCTTTTAAATCGTCTTCTCTGTGTCGACACATTGGGGCATGAAGACGATGGCATGGTGAGAGAACATTCATTCAGAAAACGTTGGCCTACTTGTCTACACGATGTTGCCCTCCTGACCTGTTTGAAAAGAGTAACGACCTCTAGTCACCGAGCTACCAGTGAACATGACTTTCAATTCATTTTAAAAATTACCATGGGTACGTGTTACTGGAATACCATCGAATGAGTCTCCCAGCGACTTCTAGGAACACGCACGTACACAGACACACAGACACACACGCACACAGACACATACACTGAGAGTGAGGTCATTTCATTCTTTGGTCGTGTTTACTATCTGCCCAACACATCAGCCACTGCTGTCGACACTGCACGACCTCTACTGAGGTGACCATATCCATGATAAACCCTCTGACAAACATTAAGTGAGGTAGCAACACGTGACTGGGTTCTTCCACACCAAGCACACCCTTGTCTGTACTCATTTCAGTACATTACTGTTGTATTATTTTACATCGGGTCATTGACAGGTTAATGGGTATGATATGAGTGTGCAACGGATCTACTTTGCCCCGTGTCAATCCTGAAACCACTGTCGTGCATGCTGATGATTTAATTACATGCTAGCTTATATCACTACCAAGGTGTACAATATTACCTAGATGTTAAATGGAG